CCAAGCATCTGTAAAAGGAATCCCAGTTCAATTCAGTGTATCAGGAATTATCTGCCCAGTCTTGTCATTTTAATTTTACACATGTCGAAGAAGTCTTAACTTAATGGCAAAATGATGTTTTCTCTCTGTTCAGAGCATGTTCCTGAGCAGGGAATGATTTGTGCACCTGTAGAACAGGAGTTCTTTACACAATAAACTGCGTGGAACAGGCTGTATCCTATGGGAAACTTCCAATTTTGTTTTAGCCTCTTTGGAGAGCAATGTGGAAATTCTGGTTACCAGACGAGTATGGAGTGTGCTCTAAGGTAGTAGATGAAATCATATACCTTGTAAAGATGGGAAAGAGCAATATGGAAAGTATGCCTACAGGTTATGCGTGTGGGTGTTAATCCTAACTGTTCAACAATATGGTCCTGCTTAGCCATTTTAAGATACACTTTAAACTGTGGGAATAAAACCCTAGTAGGTGTTTTAATTTTGTATTTAAAACAGAGTCAATTCAATTAACTAATTTGGAACTATTTCTAACTGATCTTTACATTGTGTCTAATCCACTAGCTATACTGTTGTTTGTTTATATGATTTAGCTCTTTTTGGATATAAAGCATATTAGCAGGGCCTTTAATTTTATTTTACAGCGTTACCTAAAGATTACCAATTGTATTGAATGCATAGTTACAAATAACATTTGATCAGTGTGATATTCCTTTGCTTTCTCTGCATAAAACTCAATTTTGCAAAGTTTGTTAATTTAGATTTACATGCTTAACTTTTAAAAATCATTTATGCTGCCCTGAATTTTTCAAATTGTTCTTAATAAAGGAAGCTGCCTATATGTAGGACTGCCTATATGTAGGACTGCCTTTCTAAGAGAATTGAGAAAAAAATTAGAGAAAAACACTGCAACATCTGGAGAGGATGCTTAGACTCTCTGATCAATGAGAATTCTGGAGAAAAAAAAAAAGCGTTCATTATTTTCTCTTGTGAGAAAGAAATTCTCCATAAGACAGACATTCAGGCAGCTTTTAAACCTCTCTGTTACACAGAGGGACATTGAAGGTTTTCCTGCCCTGTGGAGATGGTAACTGTGACTCTCTAGACTGTCCTTCCCAAGACAAATGTTTCGGCACACAAGCCCTGAAACTTTAGGGTTTTTAAGCACACCCACAACAGGATGATTAATGCAATACAACACATATGTCTGGAAAGAAACTATAGGGTCTCCTTTTCATGTTTAAGTTGATGAGAGTTCACTGGAAGCAAGATCTAGCCTACAGTGACAGAAGACCAATTTTGCATCGATAACAAGAGTATTATAGTGCAGTGACTCCATGCAATGCAGCAGCGGTCACACTAGCTTCTGTTTTATTTCTGTGAATTCATAAAAAATATGGCGTAACTCTTCAATAAAGGACCCATACTGTATTTGTCCCAGCCGGCACAGCACTACTGTAAGCAGTACCACTGGTGAGCAGGTAATACAGAAATTTTGTAATCATTGTTACCTATTGCTTGCAGCAATTCTGAACACATTGTGAACATCAAAAGCAACAGAAACTTGTGTCTGACCTTTTCACTCCCATCATCCTGATGCTGCTGCGTTCCAGACTTTGCCCCTTCTGTCAGGTCAGAGAAACCCAACCATTTTGTAACTTGGGAGAGACATATGTTATCACAAGAAAACAAACTTGCAGATGAAGTAGTTGCAATATCTTGCTACTCATACTCCTAAAAATGTAAGAGTGTGAGCAAAAAATGTGTGAAGGCTTTATTCCAACTACTAGATGTGATGTGCTTAGTTATCCAGAACAGTTGCTTCTCTTGGTTTCAGGATATTTCTGCTGTGTTCAATTAGATTTTGTTACCCTTTTCTATTGTCACCATATTTGTTATTAAATAGGGCACTCCTAGTATTATCTGAGATATGGAACTTGACAGGTGAAAGGGACCTGTTGCAGTTTAGCTGGTTAAATATTTCAAAAATTCAACCTTGCAGACTGACACTTCACATTTTCCTGGATGAAAGTTGGATAGAATATTTTGGTTAAAGGAGGAAGGCTGTTCCATTTTAGTGGTTATCAGTAATGACTTTTGGAACTGTTGTTGTTTATCAATAACGCAGTCACGTTAGGGCTTGGTTTTTTGTAATACTCCATGTGGTTTATAAATGAAACTAACTTGGTAACTTTTATTCTTCTCAAAAAAAATGACAACACACAGCTGTACAAACCCACATTCATGTGTTGTTTTATTGGTGCGTTACAACATTACATTTCCTTCACACTGAGAAAGCATGAGATTAAAATACATTGATCCACAAAAATGCCTTCCCTAAAAACACTGACTTTGCACTGGTAATTATAGCGCCTACAGATCCCTCCACAAGTTTCATTTCATTAAATCTTTCATAATTTTAATTACATTTTAATCAAAGCTTTTACATTGTCTATTTTATGACTTTCAATTTAATTATTCCCATTGAAATATGTTATTCTTTACTGCTTTGCAAAGTTCACCAATTACTGTTGCAATGGAAGTATTTATGCTGCATTATATTTCATATTCCAATCTTGTATCAGCCACCCCTCATTTGTGGGCTGTATAAGCTTTTCCCATCCCAAAGAAGATAGCTTGTTTGTATCAAAAGCCATTAAAATACTGGGAATGTGTACAACACAACTAGGAGGCCCCACTCATTTTTGAGAATAAGCCAAATCTATATAAAGACATGCAAAACGCTCTATGTATCAGTATTAAACTTTTAATTTTGAGTTAAGATTTTTTTTTAACATTTGCATATAACCTGGAAGACTAGGGTTCCTGCTG